ACCGACGGGGTGAACGGTCGGGGACGTTGCCGGTCTTGGATGCGACGAGGAAGGCATTCGCCTTGTTGGTGTCGTTTACCATCAGCTCGGACTGACTGAAGTCCCATTTGGCGAAGGTGCTGCCGCTTGTCGCGTTGAGCGGATCTGGGACCCAGTAGTGGACGCCGAGCCCGACGCCGGGATTGAGGTTCTTGGTGACGGCAACGAGGTCTGCGGCAGTCACTGTCTGCGGCGCAGCATCCCAGAGGCCAGCAATGAACGACGTGAACGCCCTGTGGGTGTCCAACGGGAGGCAGGAGATGTCGTACAGGTAGGAGAATGCGCCGATGGAACTGCACAAGAGTAACATGAGCCAAAATCAGCAGCAGTAGACGGGAATTTTCGACGTACGACCAGGTACCGTCGGCTCCACAGGTGTAGTTCTGCACACCGACGGAGAGCCCAGTGTACACCGGGAATGTCGTGATGGGGACTGTGAGGGGTACGCCGCCGTTATCGTTGATGTTCGCCGGCATTACGGTCTCGAGCAAGAATGTCGTGGTGGAGCAGGTCGACCCGCCGGTGGTCCGATTTGCGGGAGGAGGAATTTGAGCCTTCACCTCAAGAGTGAAGTAGGCGACAGACAAGAGAGAAAGAGCAGAGAGCAGCTTTGTGAAGGTGTGCATGGTCGAGTCTGCTGTGAGGAGGTTTCTGTGGAAAGACTGCTGTGAAGAGAATGACCAGAGCACTGAAGAGCTCCGAAAATGTTGCTCATGTTTTATACCCCAGAGGTGGGTATTGAGCGTGCCACTCGTGCAGCTGGCGTTTTCCAACTTGGGAACCGAGCTCAGGCCAACCGATGTACGTTCATCCGGCCCGCTGTCGCGTTGCGCCAACCAGGGGCGAAGGCGGGCGGGCGCAGGGATACAATGACGAGGGAACTGCGCTCTGCGATGTACCCACGACCCACTGCATCCGAGTACCAATCACCGACTGGTCAAATAGCGTGGCATAGCTAGCTTCATGGTCTTTTGGGAACCTTGTATCGAATTGTACACTAGTAATCAGTCAGTTTTGACGTATTTGAAACCAGAAGAACAGAAGTATACAAAGATGTAGACTTGCAGTGCTGTATTCCTGGCTCGAATACATTGTCACGAACAGCTTTCAGTCCGTGGAGGTCATGACGAGATGTTATTCGCGGCCTCGTAGACCTAGACGTTACAACAAAAGAGCGGTAAGTGAGCGAACGATGATATTTGCACGACGAAAAAATGGACATAAGCGTAGAGGGCAAGGTCCGTACCATCGCCATCTGCCATGTTGAATCAGCGCCACACTGGAGAGCTCCGAGTCACACGGTTTTGTCGCTGAGTGCCGCGCCCAAGAGGGGCAGCCTTGCAGTATCCTATCCCCGACTGAGTGTCCGACGACCGTCAAGCGCAACGGCATGTCTGTCAGACCTACGACAGCAGGCGGTCCTAGTATGCCCTCCGAGGCTCGCTGTAGACTCTGAATTTGTCTCAATAGTCTCGGAACTGACTACAAACAATGCAGACTCCGCTCCAGTGTGCTGGTAAGGCGGGCACGTGTGTTATACTTGGCACCCCGCACGCTGCTGCCATCGGCGAATATACCAGAACTCTGAGCTGCTAGAGCCACGATCAACACGGGACAGAGAGATAGGAGATAGGCGCCGTAGTGGCCACCGCGCAAGAGCAACCACAGAATGCGGGCTTGAATCTCGTCATTTGCTGGACTTACGGGATGTCAGACAAAGGCTTGGAGCCTCATACCGAGCCACTGCACGCAGAGTGACGAGCACAGGTAGCTACAGTCCAGCTAAATGAGAGTGGGAGCGCGCAGAGCTTACTTACTAGTGTTGATGGACTGACAACGCCGTCAGACGAAAGTGCGGCGACCGTCGCCACAGGAACACTGTTTTTGTCCATCCGCCCCGCACAAAGCTCAGGCTGCCACGCCACAAGCTTTGCTTTAGAGCTAAGATTGAGCGTTCGCCCGTATTGCGACCGTGGGGTTCAATGAGAAGGACAGATCAGAAGCTTGAAAGCCAAACTAGAAGGCCACGTGATGGGAGAGAGATTTGGGTGACGGGCAAAGCTCGGCGACGGGCAGAAGTACAAATTCCTGAGAGCGAGCTCACAATATTCTACGTGCCGCTCTGGCAAAGTAGCACTGACTCGTAGGTGGAGGGAGAAGAGAAGGAACGTAGGCTCCGGCACGCGCCCGTGTAACTCTGCAGACATCCCCTGGGTCGGCGAGGTATGTTTTACCTGAGCCATGTACTTAGCATAGTCGACTCAAATTCATCCGTTCTCCGTTCCCCGGGCTATGCGTGAGTATTATTATGCATTTGAAAGGTAGAATCGTCGTGCTAGACTGCTTGGGTTGCTTATGTCAGGCGGCTTTGTCGTGCACATCGGAGCGTCCCAAGCCAATCAATGAATGGCGCTTAATTGCCTAGGTTCGGGGCTTAATGTTGTATAGAGGAAGAAGCCGCGAGACGACGCACGATCCACAGGTCAAGTAACGCGTTTAAAAAAGTGAATCATAGGCGGCATGCACGCCAGCGTCACAAATGCAGCGCGCGCGGAGAACTTATAGTATCCAGTAGAATACATTCTTGGCTGAAAGCAACTACATCTATCTCGAATCTAGCAATAGCAGCTCGTCGAACAAATCTAGAAAATGGTATTCTCCCAAGCACCACCGAAGAGCCCTGCGAAATATGAGAATTAGAGGTATGTCACAATGAAAGCAGATATGCGACGTACAGAAGTTCAAGGTGGACTTGACCTGGAGCACAGAGCCCGGAGGGCACGTCTAAACATGCAATTAGCCTCTATCAGAAGCTTTACGAGGTTGAATGTCACGTACGTTGTTAGGCGGAGCGCCACCGTTCGAGTTGAAGCGGTAAACCTCGTCCGCGAGCTGGCCGTCCTTCTTGCCATCGACGTACAGGATGGGCTCGTACAACCACGGCGAGTTAGCCACGGAGTCATTCGGGTCAGGAACAATGCCTGTCTCGGCCGCGACGAGGAACGCGTTCGCCCTGTTCGTGTCGTTGACGTAGCGCTCGGACTTGGTGAAGTCCCAGACCGCGTTGATCTTGCCGCTCGTCGCGTTGTTCGGGTCGGGGATCCAGTAGTGCAGGCCGAGCGCGGTGCCTGGGTTGACTTGCTCGAAGAGGTCGATTATCTGCTCGTTGGCCACGGTAGGCGGCGCAGCGTCCCAGAGGGCGGCAACGAACGACGTGAACTTGGCGTGGTGCGCCTGCGGCAAGCACGAGATGTCGAACAGGAAGGTGTATCCGCCGAGAGGACTATGAAAAATGACAATCGTGGTCAGCCCGGCTTACGAGCGGATGGTGCAAACGTAGACATACCCCCAGGTGCTATCAGCTCCGCAGGTATAGTTCTGCATGCCGACGGAGAGGGTGGTGTACACTGGGTACGTGCTGTTCGGCTTCGGGAGGGGCTCGCCGCCGTGGTCGTTGATGTCGGCGGGCAGCTCGTTAGCGAGAATAAACTGCTTCGTCGAGCAGATCGATCCGCCAGTGGGGCGGGTGGCTGGAGTGTTGTGCCTCGCCTCGGGGGTGAAGAAGGCGTTGGCAACAGCCACGAGAGAGAGAGCAGAGACCAACTTCGTGAAGGCGTACATGGCTGCTGAGCTTGCTGAAGGAGATGTCCAGAGCACTGAGGAATTACGACGATCTAGCCATGCTCTTATACCCAGAGACCAGCCAAGAAAGCCAAGCCCTCTGCCTTGCGTAGGTTCAGTACTTACTCTTAGGGTCACATATGGCGGGATGCGTTAGCGAGGCAAAGCTGTGCCGATGCGCTCCTTACGAGCGTCTGCTCATCGTCCGACGGCAGCTCGTGGAGCAGCGAAGTGAGATTAACGTGCAAGCTCAAAGCGTCTGTGTGCCTTAGTCGTATCTGGGAGAATGAAGAACAAAATGACAGACCAGCATGCAATTAGACGACATCCTCGACCGTCAACGCTGCTAGCTAGGCTGTAGTTCGAGGGCTCGCCGCCAAGAAACGCGTCCCCAACGGAGCGGGTGGTGGCTTCGTCTCGCAACCACCGACGCGGAGCGCGATAGCCCTCGCGCTCGTGGGTAGGCCCGTCCTTGCAGCTTTGCGGTGAGCCTAGCATCAGAAGATGTCAAACGCCGGCCCTACCTGCACCGGTCAATGTAAATTGTCATCATCGTGCATCAGACTCACTTCAACGGTCGGACAAGAAACGGATCTCACGCACGTAGGTCCGCTGGTAAGGCGGGTATGATCGCGCACCCGGTCCTGCCAAGGCGGGTCGAACAGGTTTGAGCGCATGTCAGAGCTCAACACCCGCAGCACGTCCTGATGTGGGGAAACGATTGACGAAGGGGGAAGAGAGCGGGCGTCATGGTGGTCGAGAGCAGCCCAGTTATTGATAGGCGCCCGAGGTGCCGGAAGATTTTCCTGCAGAATGTCAAGAAGAGCAACAGACTCACTAAGTGTTAAATACACGCAAGTATTTATTTGCATACGCTTGTACAGAGAGAGAGCGAAACGGTGTTGATAAAATGCTACTGTTACAACGACGAGCTCACCAGATTAAATTGCGCACCTGCAGATGCATCGCATGACCGCATACCCCGCTCATGGCCCGCGAGCAAAAGGCTGTCCCTGGTTGTCCCTGTCTCCAAATACGTACTTGAGTTCTTCCAGTGCGCAAGATCTGACGTACACCCCTGTGACGCCAGTTGTCGCAATACCAGCAAGCGCGTCAAGAAGCATTCGCAATCGCCGTAGCCGTCCTCAGCAAAGAGCCGACCACGACACACCACTCAACGATATGTCGCTCTGGCTGTACAGCACGAATAGATGTAGTAAAACCCCACCTGCGCTGGCTAAAACATAGCAAATGTACATCGATCGTAAGAAAGCCCTGCTATGACCTTACATCTGGATCTTCAGGGCCTGTGATTGCTGCGGTGGCTATATAAAAGTTTTTTGTCTTCAAAGAAGTCTTGAATAGCTCGTTGTACAACGCTTGCTGGTGAATCGACGCGCTCCGAGTCATCAACGCCGTGACGACACAGTGAAGGTGCTGTATTCCAACCATCACGTGATCGCGAATGCGCGTTCAATCTCAGATTTGCCGGCAACTTAATCTTAGTTACATCGGGCGAAGAAAGAAAATCGCTGAACTTCGAGTCTTCCCAAGCTTCTCAGCCTGCGACAATAATAGTCACGTTATTCAACGAGATGCTCATCATGGGCCGCCCTATTCTACTAGAACTTGAATACAAAGGCTGGTGTATACTAAGACCTCTGACTAGCAACAGCAGCAACCCTGTTCGTACACAATCCGATCCCTGCTTATGGGTGCAGTATACAAATTAGGAGCAAAGCCACCTGCCCGCCCCCGCGTCCACTAACATCACATGCTAGTCCAGTATCGCTTGGGCGGCCACACGTCGAGATGTTTACTGGCCGCCCGAGCACTACACCTATCCGACATACCTAGCACGTAAATTTTGCGGAACATGACGGCATCTCAACTTTGCGGCCATACGGTCACGATGCACAGAAGCTGAATAACTCGTCCCGGAGCATCTGACGAGTAGTAGCCTCTGTAACAGTGCGTCTTCTCATGGTCTCTAAGTTCTCAGCTATAGTCCTTGACACTATCTGTCCATTCAAGGCGGCGAGGCGCACATCGCACAAGACAGCGTCATCTGTGTCAGGGTCATGAACACACGTGCGCTGGATGTGCTTATACCCCTGCAAGGTCCGAAAATGCGCGGCAGCGGCGAAGTCAGGGCTGTTCGCAGAGTCGAGTCTATTGCTGGCTTCGCGCAGTACCATGGCCGCGCCTGAACAATTATCGGTGCGCGGTGAGCCCGCAGCGTCCCGCACTCACCATGCCAAGCCTCCACTATGTCCAGCGTGCCGACTCTTGCGGCACAACGCCTCGCAGTCTTGCATATCGCCAAGGCCCAAACCTGGCGCGAGAACCTTTTCGCGGTACGCAGCCCATTCCAGGACAACGAGCTCATCCGCACTGTGGCCTGGGAGCCCGAAGACAAGCCGAAGTAAGAGTTTGGCTAGTCGTGCTAGAAATCTCATGTTCAAAAAGACAGCCCGTGCGGGGTATGGGCGGGACCACCGGAGGGCTGTACCAATTGCGTCCGCGGCGCGCCGCGTCTCTTTCGTTCTACGAAGCTGTTGAATGTATGACCAGCATGCTCTCTGCACTGCGACCCTCTGACTCCGCAAGCCTGTACTTTTGTGCTTCGCTTTACATCACACGAAGACGAGGCTGCAAAACTCTGCCCTCGGCCCCCGAGACGGTCAGGTGACTGGACTGTCATAAGCGCCTAACAGGCTGCTCTTGCCCACCGTAACACCGATATGTTTGTCTCCCGCCTCCGTTCCGTGTCCGCCGGATGTGTCGTCTGTCTGGAAGCATTTGCAAGCTCCGTATCGGCGGCACCGAGTGCGCCCATCTCTCAGGTACCCGCCTTACGAGCGGACTGAGGTCCGGTCCCTGCTGGTCGTCGCTAACGAGGCTGTTAGGGTGAACATCATGCACATTAGCCTTCGGGGCGCAATGTGGCCGCCTCCAGATGGTTCGCGGTGGGCCCATAACATTACCCGCATTGCAACTTTGACAGGCCTGTTGCGTTTGATGGACATCGGGAACTGGGCCGGAGGGAACCCTCGGAAGGAACGATGGTACGGAATATCGCACTCGGCTTCCGCCGTACATTGACCTGCTACTGTTTTTACCTTTTCCGGATTTTCAGGCTTCCAGGGGGCATCTAAAAATGAACTCCATCGAAAATCAACCAGCCCTGACAGTGCATTGGGATCAAGACCCTAACATCGTGACTCAGCGCACCCCCAAGGTGTCCTTTGGTTTCCTCTGCGACGCAAGTGTAGAACTATTGAGTTGAGCCAGGACGCGTCATGCTATACGAGCTTTCAACGAGAGCAGGCAGATGGTCGTACCTGTCTGCTATGTTGTGATCAGAAGCACGGCGGACAGCGGGCAATATACTGACACAGCTTCGGCATGTCACTGAGCGTGATTCCTCCGCTGTAGAGCTGTTCATCTGTCTCCATCCGTGCATCCAGACACACGACCATGGCGGACCGGACGCACATGTGTTCGTGAGTTGAGGCCTGAGGTTTGCCCAAGCTCATCAGCTGGAATATGGAGTTTACCAAGACTGGGTCTACGCTCACGGTACTGCCGAGGTATAAAGACCTTGACACAGTCGTCCAACCCGTCAGTGCTCTGGGCATCTCCTCCACAACAATCTCAACCATGTTCTCTTTCAAGAACCTGCTCTCTGCTCTCTCTCTTGTGGCTCTCGTCCACGCGCTCCCTGCGAAGCCTATCCAGCGCAGGACTGGCTTTGGGTCCATGTGCTCCACCACGCAGTTCAACCTCAGCAACTCTGTGCCGGCGGACTTCAACTTCACGCAGCCGAACACCACCTTCCCGACCTTCGTCGCTCTGTCTGTCGGTACGCAGAACTACACCTGCGGAGATGACGGCACTTGGAGGTACGTCTCGTTCGGATGCGCCACTGTTAACTTCGGCTGACATCCTTTGCGCAGTCCCATTGGCGCGATCACCGAGCTCTACGACATCTCCTGCATCCCGCAGGAGGAGCACGCCAACTTCACGACTATGATCGCCGACATGTGGGAGAACTCGCCGAACACGTGGACCTCGGAGGACATCGTCCTCAGCACGGAGGCCGCGAACGGCCCCACCGCGCTCGGCATGCACTACTGGATCTCGGACCCGAACAACGCGACGAGCGGCAAGATCTTCGCCAAGTGGGACTTCGGCATGTCGCGCATGATGGAAGTCACGGACATGAACACGGCCTTCGTCGTCTGCTCCGAGACCGACGTCGTCCCCGACCCGATTAACCCCGTCCTTAACTCTGCGTGGCTGTACGAGCCCGTCCTGTACGTCGACGGCCAGAAGGACGGCCAGCTCGCCGATCAGGTGTACCGGTTCAACTCGAACGGTGGCTCTGCACCCAACACTGTACGTGCTGCTCGACCTCGTAGGCCTCTGGCGGAAACTAACCTTTCATGTAGACGTGCCGCGCGAACTTCGACTTCCTCCAGGTCAAGTCCACCCTGAACTTCTGTGCGCCTCGCGTCTTTCCACCTTGTGATATTCTGCTGACCGCTCCGTTTTCTCAGGGTTCTACGGTGGTGCCTGGGTGAACACCACTTCCTCCTCGTAAGATGGATCGAACGATATTTCTCCGCTATAAATGAGATGCGGGTCACGCAGTTGCTTGTCCTCGGTTATACACGTCCGGTTCAGTAACTCTTAGCCGTCTCATTGGACTGGCCTTCCAGATTGCTATTTATGTAGAGTTGCCTATTAATGAAAATCGTGATGCCAGCTCTTTCACTCGAGGGACATCGTGTGATAAAGGGCAAATGAGCGGACTTAGAATCGATTGAAGAGTGGGAGTTTCACGAGGTTCAGACTCCGATATCTGCCCTTGCAGTTCTTGAGTGCAATGTTGCCGAATGGACCGATGACACCGAAGTCAATGGCATGGGAACTTCTCCAGGTTTCTGTCTTTCCCTCTAAAAATCTCAGGTATTGTAGGGAGGCTGGAAGCGAGAATTATTGTCGCACAAAAAGTTCTGCATGTCTTGGAAAGGAGGAGTGTGCTCGCTACCGTTTCCGGGTCCAAGATCAATGACAACACTGCTCGGGTGAGGAGGTTATGTGGTGCTGATTTGAGTCTCTCTTGCATATCAATATCACACGCACATTTTGTTAGATGAGTTCAGAATGTCGCAACCACTCCATATCCTGGTAGACCAAATTTGCCAAGCCACAGCCTACTATGCGCCCATATTTGGCAGGCGAAACCTTTGGATCCTAACAAGACCAAATATAATGCCGCGGTCTGTTATGTCGGTTATCCGGCGCCCAGGCGCGTGCTGACGACACACAACGACACAGATGCTGTGGTGCGGGGTACAAAATTGAGCTTGGCGTCCTCGGCCATTGCTTCGCGTGTAGATTTCGCGAATGGACAAAACATATATACCTGGTATTTTTCCCGGCCCGAACAACGCCAAATCACAGACAAGGCCTCCCAAAACGATATTCATGATCACAAGCTTGCCTAGCGAGAATGAGACGCATGTCAACGCAAGCTACAAGGTGGACGGGGGATCATGACTGGCGAAGCCAAGCACCACGCTAGAAAGGTGCTCAAGCACAAGAGCACCATCTTCCGAAGAAAAGCACTAAGTATCGACTGTGTAATCTAGTGTCTAGCAGCTTCGAAAGTTTCAACGGCTCTGACGGAGGCTACAGGTTAGGGGGTGATGGGATTGGTATTGACCTTGATGTAGAGGATAACTGGAGGAGAGAATGTGCGGTCACACGGCGCGTCGACTCAAGGTAATCATTTGTACAATCCAAGGTTATACTTTCATTTAACGCCTTTCTATCACAAGAAGCATGCCCGTATACAAGAGCCTTTAGAACACGCCCTTGTCCTCGAGCTGTTCGTGCGCACGGTCCTTAGCCTCCTGGCTGACATTCGGGTCTGGGACCAAAGTCAGTCACGCGCTGCAACGATAGACAAAGAAGAATGCGTACTCTTCATGGTCGCCTTCAGCCCGGCGTTAACCCGCGTCTCGTCCTTGTCATCGTCGTACTTGGCACGCTGCTCCTTGGTTTGCAAATCGCGCTCCAGGTCATCGACGACCTGGCGCGAGTGTTCTTTCGCCTCCTCAGAGATGTTCGGGTTGTGCATCGCAGCCTGTGTGCGACGTCAGTCTCGGCGTCGGGTGCGGCGACAATCCGGTGTAGGAGGCACACACCTTGTGTCCACCGACGGCACGAGTGGGGAGCTTGGTGCTCTCAGACATAATGATTATTTAGAGGGTGTAACAGGAGAAAAATGGTTTTCGTGGTTGTTCGTCTCGGCGGGCAGCGCTCGAACTCATACTGTGTAGGGCTCGATCTGCGGCCGTAGCCGAGGGAGCTCAATGACACGCCTCGATTCGCGTTCAAATGCATCTGTAGAGACCCGCCGTGGTGGGCGACAATAGCGACAATAGCGACAGCGGATGCCGCTGTGGCGTCTGTCGTCACCATCTTCGTCAACCCGCAGACGGGCACTTCGAGGTGGAATCAAACTTGTGCAAGTGGAGATTCGGGGCGGTATGTGGGTATGCACTTGGGTGGATCAAAATGCATGGTGAGTTTTTGTCCGCAGATCGGATGCTGTTGTCGAGCTAGTCAGAATGACGGGATATCTCATAGAGAACATACTGGACAACTCAAACCGCCTCATACAACATCCGCAAAAGGTGCACGTATTCTATGCAGGCGTTTTGACAATGATATGATATGCAGAATATGGCA